GGAAGATTCGTGTTAGGAAGGGGGATTTATGCTAGAAGGGAAAGTTGGAGGGGGATGTGCTAGAAGGGGAATTTGGAGGAGGGGGAGAGAATTTATACTCAGAGGGAAAATTTGAGATGTAGAGGATTTGTGCTGGGGGGGGGGGGGGTTCTAAAGGGAGAGGATTTGGAAAGGGGAGGGGTGTGATGGAACGCCTGTCACTCAGATTGAGAGGTTCCATCCGAGAACCGCTTCCTCACCATTGGGACACAGGACCTAGGTATTATAGCCGGGCATTGCACCCAAGACTAGGCGAGACTTGATTGATGCAAACTGGGACTCTTTACTGAGCAGAAAACAGGTTTTTATACAATCCAGAAATAGGGGCAGTGCCCACAGGAACAATAAAACAAATATTACACATTGAGATGAACATCCCACACTGATTGGGTAAGAGCTTGGTCACAACAGTACAGCCAACAGCTAACCGTGATTTAATTAATAGCAAGCTAATCAGCCGCCGAGTACCCAGACAATGCTTTCATTAATCAGGGACCCCACCCCAGGCAGCCCCACAACAAACCCACCCCTGAACGCACAAAACCCACCCCTGAACATACAAACCCACCCCTGAACGCACAAACCCACCCCTGAATGCACAAACCCACCCCTGAACGCACAAACCCCCGCCCCTGAACGCACAAACCCACCCCTGAACATACAAACCCACCCCTGAACGCACAAACCCAACCCTGAATATACAAACCCACCCCTGAATGCACAAACCCACCCTGAACGCACAAACCCACCCCTGAACGCACAAACCCACCCCTGAACGCACAAACCCACCCCTGAACGCACAAACCCCCCCTGAATATACAAAACCCACCCCTGAATGCACAAACCCACCCCTGAATGCACAAACCCACCCCTGAATATACAAACCCACCCCTGAACGCACAAACCCACCCCTGAACGCACAAACCCACCCCTGATCGCACAAACCCCCCCCTGAATATACAAACCCACCCCTGAACGCACAAACCCAACCCTGAACGCACAAACCCCCCCCTGAATATACAAACCCACCCCTGAATGCACAAACCCACCCCTGAATACACAAACCCACCCCTGAATATACAAACCCACCCCTGAACGCACAAACCCGCCCCTGAACATACAAACCCACCCCTGAACGCACAAAACCCAACCCTGAACGCTACACAAACCCACCCCTGAACGCACAAACCCACCCCTGAACGCACAAACCCACCCCTGAATATACAAACCCACCCCTGAACACACAAACCCACCCCTGAACATACAAACCCACACCCTGAACACACAAACCCACCCCTGAACGCACAAACCCACCCCTGAATATACAAACCCACCCCTGAACGCACAAACCCACCCCTGAACGCAAAAACCCACCCCTGCACGCACAAACCCACCCCTGAACACACAAACCCACCCCTGAATATACAAACCCACCCCTGAATACACAAACCCACCCCTGAATATACAAAACCCACCCCTGAATACACAAACACACCCCTGAATACACAAACCCACCCCTGAACACACAAACCCACCCCTGAATGCACAAAACCCACCCCTGAACACACAAACCCACCCCTGAACATACAAACCCACCCCTGAACGCACAAACCCACCCCTGAACACACAAACCCACCCCTGAACGCACAAACCCACCCCTGAATATACAAACCCACCCCTGAATACACAAACCCCACCCCTGAATACACACAAACCCACCCCTGAATATACAAACCCACCCCTGAACGCACAAACCCACCCCTGAACACACAAACCCACCCCTGAATGCACAAACCCACCCCTGAATATACAAACCCACCCCTGAACGCACAAACCCACCCCTGAATATACAAACCCACCCCTGAATACACAAACCCACCCCTGAACGCACAAACCCACCCTGAATATACAAACCCACCCCTGAATGCACAAACCCACCTGTATAATCTGTCCATCGGAGACAAATCTCATCCAATATTCCAACAGTCTGGACAGTGGAATTAGTTATCTTCATAGAATTCTTGAGGGATTGTTGATAAATATTTCTGTCCCAAACAGAGAAGCTTCTGCCCCCCCCCCCAGTCCACATGAGGACCTCCATATTTCCTCTGACCATCAACCTGTACAGGGATGAATATTCCATCTCTCCATCCACTCCGGAAGGGAAGATTTATTGCCCTTATGCAGAGAATTGCCCCCCAGCCTCGCTCTCAGCGCTCACCACGTTGTTGTCCATCATTAGAGAATGATCTGCTCTCTCCATGGGCCAGAATCAGTGGGCAGAAGACTAGCCCCTAGTCCCCTCCAAAAGCCCCTGTCCCAGTTGGGTCTGTCACAAGGGGGGATATGGAAAAGGAGAGGATCTGTGCTGGGGGGGAGTTAGGGGTCAAAGATTTATTGATTGATTAGTTCTAGATTTTGTTGGGGGGAGGGAGGGGATTTTTGATGGCACATAATGCTCACACATTTTGAGGAAAGGGGGAGGTGCACCATCTTTGCCCTGAGCACTAGATGAGCTTGTCCTTGCTTTTTTTTTTACTGCCCCCCAGATCAGACAGGCCGGATCTGGCCCTGCTCTGTGGCAACAATTCTCATAGAGATCTTTTGGCTGTGCAGTCAGTTTCCAATTTCTTTCTATAAGAAATGAGGGAGGGGAGGTGGGACCTTCACTCTGCAATCTGAACCAGGAACGTGTCCTGAAACCATTCCATAAAATGAGATTTCTCTGTGAAATATGAACACTAAAAAACATAAAGTACTTTTCTAAACCCTCCGCGCCGTAATGTTACACGTCCAATAACCATCCCGGAAATTTCGCCATGAAAGTCAATGTTCCCTCCTGGTCTCCTTTTACCTGGAGAATGTTCTCGGCAGACAATTGTGCCGGGGAGCTGGAATCATAGAGCCGCAAAGATCACGCGAAGGAAGAGTTTTTCCATCTATGGTCCCTATTGGCTCCTTTGTGTCAGGGTCAGTTCCAGGGCAATCTGCTCCCTGCTGGGAGACAATGGCAAATAAACAAGACGCCGGCTCTCGGGGACACTGCAGCTCTGGGTGAATCTCGGGGCAGGAGTGCAGGACTGGGTGAAATGCCACTTACACCGGATGGAGGGAAGAGAAGGGCCGGCAAAGTCAAACGATGACAAAATACAACAATTACTGTTTATCATGCATCCTTTTATATGTTTGTCCTCTGTGGTGTCCAGCTGTGTCATTCACCGGCGATGGCTTCCTGACGGTAATTGGGCTGCGACTGCCAGAGGAACGGACTTGTTGCTTTATTTAAAGGGCATGTGTTCTGGTTTATATATAAGTATTTCTATTTATAACAGCCAAGACTAAAGAATAAAACGATATATGAAATATTATATAGAGATATTTAGTGTTTTTATTAACAGCCAGCAGATGGAGCTCTGAGTTCTTCTTTTAGCCCTACTATTGACAAAAAAAATGGTGTTTACAGAGCTCAATAGCTGAAGCTTTAAGTTTTATCACCTTTTTTCTCCGCCCCGCTTTGCTCAGAAGGGCATAAGAAGATAGAAACATTAGCTGTCCTCCCTGTTAAAAGAAACCACAATGAGAATTCTGTGTCACGTTTGTTGGAAATTTTTACTTTATTGACAAAAGTATTGGGCTGCCGGACTTCTCATGCATATGACCTTTAATGGCCCCCCCAGTCTTAGTCCATAGGGTTCAATATTGAGTTGGCCCCGCCCTTTCCACACCATGACCCTTAATGGCCCCCAGTCTCTTAATCCGTAGGATTCAATATTGAGTTGGCCCCGCCCTTCCCACACACATGACCCTTAATGGCCCCCAGTCTTAATCCGTAGGATTCAATATTCAGTTGGCCCCGCCCTTCCCACACACATGACCTTTAATGGCCTCCCAGTCTTAGTCCGTAGGATTCAATATTGAGTTGGCCCCGCCCTTCCCACACACATGACCTTTAATGGCCTCCTAGTCTTAGTCCGTAGGGTTCAATCTTGAGTTGGCCCCGCCCTTCCCACACACATGACCTTTAATGGCCCCCCCAGTCTTAGTCCGTAGGGTTCAATATTGAGTTGGCCCCGCCCTTTGCACCTATAACAGCTTCAACTCTTCTGGGAAGGCCTTCCACAAGGTTTAGGAGGGTGTCTATGGGAAGGTTGGACCATTCTTCCAGAAGCACATTTGTCAGGTCAGGCACTGATGTCGGGGGAGGAGGCCTGGCTCGCAGTCTCCGCTCTAATTCATCCCAAAGGTGTTCTATGGGGTTGAGGTCAGGACTCTGTGCAGGACAGTCAAGTTCCTCCACCCCAAACTGGCTCCTCCATGTCTTTATGGACCTTGCTTCGTGCACTGGTGCGCAGTCATGTTGGAACAGGAAGGGGCCATCCCCAAACTCTTCCCACAAAGTTGGGAGCATGAAATTGTCCAAAATGTCGCCTTAAGAGTTCCCTTCACTGGAACTAGGGGGCCAAGTCCAATCCCTGAAAAACATCCCCACACCATAATAATCCCCCCTCCACCAAACTTTACACTTGGCACAATGCAGTCAGGCAAGTACCGTTCTTCTGGCAACTGCCAAACCCAGACACGTCCATCGGATTGCCAGACAGAGAATTATAATTGGTCGCTCCAGAGAGCACGTCTCTTGAGTCCAGTGGCGGCGTGCTTTACACCACGGCATCCGCCGCTTTGCATTGCACTTGGTGATGGATGGCTTGGATTAGGCCAATTTTGACCAAAGAGCAGAAAAGAGACATCCCTATATATTCAGCAAAGAGATGGCCCATTCCAGCAAAGAGACATTCCCAAATAGTCAAAGAAATGGCCCAACCCAGCAAAGAGACATCTCTATTTATCCACCAAAGAGACAGCCCCATCCAGGAGACACATCCCAATGCAGCAGAGACATCTCCATATAGCAGTGAGAAAGCCCAATCCAGCATTGTCATGAGACGTGGCCTACCACTTGGTGGCTGAGTTCCTGTTGTTCCCAGCGGCTTCCACTTTGTTATAATCCCACTAACAGTTGAGCGTGGAATATTTAGTAGCCAGGAAATGTTACGGATGGACTTATTGCCCAGGTGGCCACCTATCACGGGACCACGCTTGGAGTCACTGAGCTCCTGAGAGCGACCCATTCTTTCACCAATGTTTGTAGAAGCCGTCTGCATGCCTAGGGGATGATTGTATACACCTGTGTCCATGGAGGGGATTGGGACACCTGAATCACATGATATGGAGGGGATTGTAACACCTGGATCACATGATTGGGAGGGGATGGGAACACCTGAATCACATGATTGGGAGGGGATTGGAACACCTGAATCACATGATTGGGAGGGGATTGGAACACCTGAATCACATGATTGGGAGGGGATTGGAACACACCTGAATCACCATGATTGAGGGGATTCACATGATTGGGAGGGGATGGGAACACCTGAATCACATGATTGGGAGGGGATTGGAACACCTGAATCACATGATTGGGGAGGATGGGAACACCTGAATCACATGATTGGGAGGGGATTGGAACACCTGAATCACATGATTGGGAGGGGATTGGAACACCTGAATCACATGATTGGGAGGGGATTGGAACACCTGAATCACATGATTGGGAGGGGATGGGAACACCTGAATCACATGATTGGGAGGGGATTGGAACACCTGAATCACATGATTGGGAGGGGATTGGAACACCTGAATCACATGATTGGGAGGGGATTGGAACACCTGAATCACATGATTGGGAGGGGATTGGAACACCTGAATAACATGATTGGGAGGGGATGGGAACACCTGAATCACATGATTGGGAGGGGATTGGAACACCTGAATCACATGATTGGGAGGGGATGGAACACCTGAATCACATGATTGGGAGGGGATTGGAACACCTGAATCACATGATTGGGATGATTGGAACACCTGAATCACATGATTGGGAGGGTGGTCCCAATACGTTTGGCAATATAGTGTGTTCCTCAATAGCCAAAAATGATGTGAATCCACTTGTGTGCACCAAATACCTTTGCAAATACAGTGACATCATACTCTGTACAGAAAATAGAGCTGTGGGAGGGCCCCAGCAAGGAGAGAGAGAAAAACTGTGGGAGGGGCTCAACAAGCTCCACCCAGTACAGTCTGCCTGCAGAAAACTTCAAGAGGTGACGAGACAAGACCAGTCACCCTGAACAAGGAGAGGGCAACTGTGGGAGGGACCCAGCAGGATCCACCCATTAAAGTACAGGAGAGGGTGGAGACAAGACCAGTCACCCTGAACAAGGAGAGGGCAGAGCTGTGGGAGGGACCCAGCAGGCTCCACCCATTAAAGTACAGGAGGGGGTGGAGACAAGACCAGTCACCCTGAACAAGGAGAGGGCAGAGCTGTGGGAGGGCCCAGCAGGCTCCACCCATTAAAGTACAGGAGGAGGGTGGAGACAAGACCAGTCACCCTGAACAAGGAGAGGGCAGAGCTGTGGGAGGGCCCAGCAGGCTCCACCCATTAAAGTACAGGAGGGGGTGGAGACAAGACCAGTCACCCTGAACAAGGAGAGAGAGCAGCAGTGAGCGGTCTTCATTGCAGGAAGTTCGATGCTGTACAGATGGCGCCCAGCTCTTGTATTTGGACAATAAATGCTTATTCTGGAGTTCTGCTTTAATAACCGATAAAAATAAAATGCAGGAAGATTGACCAATAATTTCCCTTTCATACAATCCCGAGATTCTCCGTGACATCTATGGTGTCATTGTCATTACAGCCCCTCATCAACCTCCCTGTAGAATCTTCTTGTGATAGGACAATGGAGGGTATTTATAAAGCACATAAATCGGCTCATTTGCTGCTTTTTTATTGCTGGATATCCATCAGATGATTGGCTGCACTTAGATGTCCTATTTATCGGGCAGATCGACCCATTCTTTGCCGGATTGAGCCTCTAGTACTTCCTCTATCTACTGAGCAGCGAAGCGTCCCAGTCTCCAAATCCAGGTCTTCAACATGTGAAATCTTCTATAGACGACCTGATTGGTGGGGAACGTTCTCCATTTTCAGCAGTCAGATGACGGATTTGTAGCAGTCGTTCTCTGTATGCTCATCACGCTGGACATCATTGGACCAATCAGATTTTGGTTTCCTCCACGTTCTCCCCCCTGTCATTGGAGAAATGTATAATTCTGCTACAGGAAAGGTAAACCCGTAATTTCCTTTATTTAGCCGTCTTCACCTGTTTTCCGTAGAAGTATTTTAAGACTAAGGCCGGCCACACACGGGGCGAAATTAGACCGATTTTTCATCCGAATATCAGACCTAAGGATAATCAGACGATTTTCGCTGTTAGTGGGTCAGTGGCACCGGCTGGATTTTCGTGGTTCCTCCCCTTTTCGGTGATCGGGCGTGTTGGAAAATTCTTGAAAAAACCACCGATTTTCGACTCAATGATGGTCAAGTCGTACGATCATTTTTTCCAAAAAGAATACACGCATGAGCCGTGACCTGGAAGGAGCAGAAGTATTGCCTGTTATATGGGGAGAACTTTATGACTCAGTCGGACGATTTTCTAAATCATTGATAGCGCCGTCGGATTACCGGGCGAATGTTTTCGATTTTCAGAAGAAAAATCGTTCGGAATTCGAACCATGTATGGCCTGCTTAAGGACTAAGGGTGAGCTTTGGATTTGGGTCGATGGAGAGCTCAACCCAAACTCTAGCTGTTCGACTTTCACTTAATGGATGAACTAAGTGGCCAGATGTGACCTCCCTGTCCGCTGGAACCTCTAGCTGTTGCATCCTTCATTTAGAAGTAGTATTGCTGGATTTTGGGGAGGATCCCCCTCAAATCCATATCAATCATAAGGGCCTGGTAGGGATTATGGGGACCTCAGGTTGTTTAGTTGTCCCCACCAAAACAAACCACAAATGCTCAAAGAAGAAGTAAAACAAAAAATTCAAACATTTTGGGGACCCCCCAAAATCTATACTTATCTGACATGGGGTCGGTATGGATTTTTAGGACCCACACAAAAGACAAAACAAAATCCCTGCCCTGTAGCAGTATTTCTGGAACTGGAATGTCACAGAACTGGTCAAAGACAAAATCTGTGTCACGGACGAACTGCATCTGTGGCTGGCAGTGGCAGGGTGACAGTTGCAGGGAGTGGAGGAGGATGCAGTGTTAGTTTTCCCCACACATAGAGTTTTACTTTTAGGCCGTAAAGTCCCATGTTGGTCTTCTCTGACCAGAGCCCCTTCTTCCACATGTTTGCTGTGTCCCCCACATGATGCTGCCACCACCGTGTTTCACAGTGGGGATGGTGTGTTCAGGGGGATGGGCAGTGTTAGTTTTCCCCACACATAGAGTTTTACTTTTAGGCCGTAAAGTCCCATGTTGGTCTTCTCTGACCAGAGCCCCTTCTTCCACATGTTTGCTGTGTCCCCCACATGATGCTGCCACCACCGTGTTCTCACAGTGGGGATGGTGTGTTCAGGGGGATGGGCAGTGTTAGTTTTCCCCCACACATAGAGTTTTACTTTTAGGCTGTAAAGTCCCATGTTGGTCTCCTCTGAGCAGAGCCCCTTCCACATGTTTGCTGTGTCCCCCACATGATGCTGCCACCACCATGTTTCACAGTGGGGATGGTGTGTTCAGGGGGATGGGCAGAGTTAGTTTTCCCCCACACATAGCGTTTGGCTTTTAGGCCGTAAAGTCCCATTTTGGTCTCCTCTGACCAGAGCCCCTTCTTCCACATGTTTGCTGTCTCCCCCACATGGCTTCTCACAAACTGCAGACGGGACTTCTTCTGGCTTTCCTCCAACAATGGCTTCTTCTTGTCACTCCTCCATAAAGGCAGATTTTTGGAGTGACGACTAATAGTTGTCCTGAGGACAGATTCCCCCCCTGAGCTGTGATCTCTGCAGCTCCTCCACAGTTCCCATGAGCCTTTTGGCTACTTCTCTGATGAATGCTCTCCTTGCCCGGCCTGTCAGTTTAGGTGGACGGCCATGTCTTGGTAGGTTGGCAGTTGTGCCGTACTCCTCCCATGTTCGGATGATGGATTGAACACAGCGCTCCGTGAGATGGGCAAAGCTTGGGAGATTCATTTATAACCTAACCCTGCTTTACACTTCTCCACAACTTTATCCCTGACCTGTCTTGTGTGTTCCTTGGCCTTCATGATGCTGATTGGTCACTAATGTTCTCTAACAAACCTCTGAGGGCTTCACAGAACAGCTGGATTTATACTGAGATCACATGACACACAGGGGGACTCTGTGTTCTAATTAGGGGACTTCTGAAGGCAATCGGTTCCACTAGATTGTAGTCAGGGGTATCAGAGTAAAAGGGGGCTGAATACAAATGCCGCCACAATTCTCACAGATTTATTTGTAAAAAATGTTGAAAACCATTTCCTTCCACTTCACAATTATGTGCCACTTTGTGTCGGTCCATCACATCCAATCCCGAGAAATACATTGTAACATGACAACATGGGGGAGGGGGGGATACATTGTAACATGACAACATGGGGGGAGGGGAATGCATTGTAACATGACAACATGGGGGACATTTCAGGGGGGAGGGGGAATACATTGTAACATGACAACATGGGGACATTTCGGGGAGGGGGGGGAATACATTGTAACATGACAACATGGGGGACATTTCAGGGGGGAGGGGGGGATACATTGTAACATGACAACATGGGGGACATTTCAGGGGGGAGGGGGGATACATTGTAACATGACAACATGGGGGACATTTCAGGGGGGAGGGGGGATACATTGTAACATGACAACATGGGGGACATTTCAGGGGGGAGGGGAATACATTGTAACATGACAACATGGGGGACATTTCAGGGGGGAGGGGAATACATTGTAACATGACAACATGGGGGACATTTCAGGGGGGAGGGGGGATACATTGTAACATGATAACATGGGGGACATTGCAGGGGGGGAGGGGGAATACATTGTAACATGACAACATGGGGGACATTTCAGGGGGGGGATACATTGTAACATGACAACATGGGGGAGGGGACATTTCAGGGGAAGAGGGACTTTTTAAAGGCACTGTATACACACGGCTCAAACAAAATGAGAAGAAGACTCTGACAACCCATCAGACCCCAATGGGGACAAATCTCCTGCTGGATCTCTATACTGACATGGATGGGGGATGGGTGAGGAATGTAAGGACGCCCCATCATTGGATGGAAATGATTGACCTACAGAGGACTGAATTCACAGACACCCCGAAAATCAAAGGGAAGAAATGATGCAGCAGGCGAGTCCATGTTGGTGAAATGTCATTGCAGCAACTCAAAATGGCCCTCAGATGCTTGTGTGGCCCCCACGTGCTCGTATGCATGCCTGACAATGTTGGGGGAGGGTCCTAATGAGACCACGGATGGTGTCCTGGGGGATTTCCTCCCAGATCTGGACCATCACTGAGCTCCTGGACAGGCTGAGGTGCAACCTGGTGGCATCAGATGGACCAAAACATGACATCCCAGAGGGGTTCTATTGGGTTTAGGTCAGGGGAGTGTGGGGGCCATTCAATGGTATCAATTCCTTCATCCTCCAGGAACTGCCTGCATACTCTCCCCACATGAGGCCGGGCATTGGTGTGCACCAGGAGGAACCCAGGCCCCACTGCACCAGAAGGAACCTAGGACCCACTGCACCAGGAGGAACCCAGGACCCACTGCACCAGCGTAGGGTCTGACAATGGGTCCAAGGATTTCATGCCAATACCTAATGGCAGTCAGGGTGCCATTGTCTAGCCTGTAGAGGTCTGTGCGTCCCTCCATGGATATGCCTCCCCAAACCATCACTGACCCACCACCAAAAC